ATTAAGCGGTGTATAGATAATGGATGGATGGATTACTTTTGTCAGATTTAAGTTATTTCTGTGATCATTGTGGGTTTTTCTTTCATTTACCGAGGGATACCAACAATTTTGTCCACATGTGCAAAAGACAAGCGACACCCAAAACTGAAAATACTCAAACTAAGGTCCTGACTCACGTATACCAGGACAAGTGTAGCAAGACATGTCTTAGGCAGTTGATGTGCATTACCTGTTTGACTGTCCGCTCTGTGAGGTTGTATTTGGCTGACAGGGCATGTCCAGCCTCCACCCAGACCTCCTCCATACTTTGAATTCTTTGAAGGATCCATCGTAACTGCCTTTTGTTTTCCAGTAATGGATAAAGACCTTTGAAACTTTCCCGGATCAATGCAGGGTCAGATCCCAACTGAAGGTAGGTAAATGAAGAAAACACAAGGGATGATGGCTTGTTTTGTACTGTTCCCTTTTAGCACTCATAAATGAATGCTCTGCTGTTTCTGAATGGGCTTCACAGGCCCACAAATTCACTACACAATCCCATTTGGGTCAATTATGCCATTTTTGAGTCCTCATTCAGCGCAGTTTAAAAATATGTATCAAAATCAGTTTTTCTGTTTGCTTTTAGGACCACCCGTTATTTTTATGTGTTTACAAGTCTTTCAGTGCAAGCAAATTATATGGAAAATGAGTTTAAGAGGGGGGCTGCAAGGTGCCTCGCAGCAGGAAGGTTGCTGGTTTGCGTCCCAGTGGTGGCACCAGGATCTTTCTGCGTGAAGTTTGCATGTTCTCCCCGTGCAGCGTGGATTCTCTCCGGGTTCTCTAGCTTCCTCCCACACAGTCCAAAAACATGTTGAGGTTAATTGGTGATTCTAAATTGTCTGTAGGTGGGAATGTGAGTGTGCTTGGTTGTCTGTCTCTAAGTGTAGCCCTGTGACAGACTGGTGATCTGTCCAGGGTGTCCCCTGCCTTCACCCTAAGTCAGCTGGGATAGGCTCCAGCCCCCCTGCGACCCTCATGAGGATTAAGCGATGTATAAATAATGGATAGATGGAGTTTAAGAGGCAATGCAAAGTTCCAGAGTTCTGCTGTAACAGAAACAGACATCTTCTATACACCACACCCCACACCATACACAGTACATCACATGCACTGTCCAGAGATCAGGTGGCCAATCTGAAAATAAATCAATACTGAATTTTTTAAAAATCGTCAACATTTTGTGGGGCAAGGGGCGTGGCTGGCTTGATTGACAGTCGGCAGCGATGATGCAGACGAAGCGAGCAGAAGGGCGGGCAGAGAGGGCCTGCCTCTCAATCCGTCTGACCAATCGCTGCTCCTATGGTTCTGCCCCCTTCCGACGATTTTAGCGTCACTGGCTCCAAAAATCCAAGATGTCAGCCAGTAAGCAAAACCCTGGCTTCATTTTCTCAGTGCAGAAACCAACGGGTGACGTCACGGTAGCTACGTCCATCTTTTATACAGTCTATGGTTTGATCTGACTTCTGTACTTTTTGACGGTTTAATTCACTGTATAGCAATACAAGTATAAAGAAGCAATAAATCAATAAATATTAAACAACCGTATCTTTGATTAAAAAAAATAAAAATCCCATTAAAAAAATGTAAAAATCTGGAAGCAAAAAAAAAAAAAAAAGAAAAAGAGGAAAGATGAAAATAGCAGCAAATATCTGTAAAATGTTAAGATTTTGGATGCCAAAATACCATTTGTAAAAACACAGGGCTTGGAGGTTGAAGAAGATCAAAAATTATTTTCAATCTTTCAATCATTAATCTACATAATTCTTCTTTAAAATACTAGCAAATAAAATCAATGTATCTAAATACATTTTTTTTTAAAGAACTACATTTAAAAATTGGAAAATTTGTACAATAACAGTCAATTGTTCAAAAGAATTCCAGCTAAAAAGTGTCAGAAGACCTTTTATATATATACATATATAATGTTGACGATAACCCTAGATTAAGTGAGCAAATAAAGATACAAACCAGAAGGAGATACTGCAGACTCAGACACCAGATCAAACCAATGCCCAGTAGGACCTGGCTCAGGGGGTGCTTTGGTATTTTCATGTTTAACAGATGGTGGGTGTTGGGAGGTACAAGTGAAAAAGACGTGATTTAACATTACATGCGATGTTTCATGAACACATACATCATAATTACAAGGCACATTAGCATTATGATGATTGCTTATGAAATTTAAATTCAATAACTTATGACACAACAGTAACAGGAATTTCTTTACTTAATACACACTTTATTTAGCACATACAGATACATTTATCAAACTGTAGAACAAATTGCATTTTAATTGTCATTGAACTGTATTGTCTATGTCGGTGTTGTTTGACGTTGTTTTTCAAGTATCAGTTGGGTCAAAACGACACAGTAAGAAAAAAAAAATCAAACACTTACCTTCAGAGCGTTGGTCAATCCAATGCATGAATACAAGTGCAAGGTGGTACAGTTGTTCGCACTGTTGCCTCGCAGCAGGAAGGTTGCTGGTTCGCATCCCAGTGGTGGCACCAGGATCTTTCTGCGTGAAGTTTGCATGTTCTCCCCGTGCAGCGTGGGTTCTCTCCGGGTTCTCCGGCTTCCTCCCACAAGGTCCAAAAACATGTTGAGGTTAATTGGTGATTCTAAATTGTCTGTAGGTGGGAATGTGAGTGTGCTTGGTTGTCTGTCTCTAAGTGTAGCCCTGTGATAGACTGGTGACCTGTCCAGGGTGTCCCCTGCCTTCAGCCCCCCTGTGATCCTAGTGAGGATTTTAATGGGTGAGGT